AAATTTTTTTTTAAAATAATTATTTTTATATATTTAAAGTAATGTTATTAATGGTGAGAAGTTACTTGAAGTATAACTAATTATCCAATTAGTTGGTGTTGTTAAGGGAAGCAAAAGGGCATAAATTAATGGAAAGTATTAAGATGATAATAAAGGAAAGAAAATTCAATAATTATTTTATTTATTATCTTTCAAATAAGATTTAAAAGGAGTTTAAATATTTTTAAAAATAAGCATCTACGTAATCAAGTAACATTAATGAGAGGTTCAGCAGTCAGTTGTCATCTGTAAATGATGGATGAGAACAAAAATCTACCCTTATATTTATATAACAAATGATATTTTATACATTTAATCGCTTTTCCGACTAACCAAGATCATTCATTTTTATTTTTATTCATTCCTCATCGCGGAAAAATGATTAATTTCCCTTGGCAGTCGCATTAAAATTCCCTTCTTTACCCCCAAAACAAATGGTTAATTAAAAATCTTTAAATGAAAATTACTCGTGGACGATACTGCAACAAAATAATAGACCTAGAAATTCCCACTATCGTCCGTCTGTTCGTCTGTCCTTTCTTAATCCTTATAATAATTACTAATAAAAAAGTTTTTAAAATAAAAATCTTGTAACAGATGGCGCTACATGCAGTTTTAAGGTTTTTGCCGGAGAAAGTTATGCAATTCGGCTGGATTTTTTGAAATGAAGTGAGTTTTAGGCTCCTTTTGTAGCCAGTTTTTTTACAGATTAGATTCAGTAGTGACAGAAAGAATATCTGTTGCCAGAAGTCAATATCCTCAGCAATAATAATTGTTAAGGATCTCTACCATTATTTACTACTTTATCCCCAATTATGCAATTCTTAAAATCCGTACTGTGTAGTTTTTTACATAATGTGCCCACTAGTGGCAAGCAGAAGAAAACAGATGAACACTGGTTTCGTGCCTTTGCCAACAAGCTAGCCACGTGGAGTTTCTGAATCTTTTCACTTATGTAATACCAATATACGGACTAGTTTCCATAGAAAGTCCTCCAGCAAACACTTCTTGTTTGGCAGATCGCTGGTGTTTCGTTGCGACACCCCATCGAGCTAATCCTTCTTACTGTTATCCACAATTACACAGTTTCTTAAAATAGCTGTTATTATTACTGTCATACACACACATAATTGAATAATATTGGGAATTTTTATAGCGAATATAATTAATTAATTCCTTAATTTAATACCCTAATTACTATAATTGTAAGATTTCAAGTTGCAGATTAATTTTTACGAGAAATAATTTACAAGTACTTTAACACATTGATTTACAAATTCAGGAACAAGAAAATATTAAATATTTAATATTTATAAATAATTTATATATGCAAATTATTAAATTTAAAGATTATTCCTTAATTAAAATTACGAAGAAAGATAAATTTCACTAGCAAGCCATTATGTATCATCATTATACACGATGAAAAATCATTTAAATGTAAGCTACTATGCAAATCAATTATATTAAACAAATATCATCCTTTATTTCTTTAGGAAAATATCGATAAAAACGTCAAAATATCGTTACAACAATTGGCCACGTTGCCAAAAAGTAGGGCATTATAAAAATATTGATTTAAAGAAAATCAACTCTGACGAAATTTTTCTCATTCGAATTCTATCGAGTGAAAAATTGCATCAGAAATGACGTTTCATTCGATTTCGCCGATAGGATTGAAATATGTCGATTGTGACGCTGAAAAATTACATAACTTTTGCATTCGATATAATTCGAATTCGAAAACTGCGTCAGAGAACGTCTAATTAACATCTCACCAATCGAATTTGAATTTGCAAATTATGACGTTTCAATGATGTAATCACTACATTCGATAATATTCGAATTCTGAAATTGCGTCAGCATTGACGTCCAATGAACTTTTCTCCAATAAAATTTGAATTTGACCGCTGTGACGCCATCAATGACATAACTATCGCATTCTATAAAACTCGAATTTGATATTGACTAATTTTAAATGTTATGTTGTTGAATGTAGCCATTCTAAATTAAATTAAAACAAAATATTGCTAAATACCGAGTGATTAAATAATTTTTTCATTATAATTAAACAAAAATTTTTTAATCAGTAAAGTATTTAAATTAATGTATTATTAACTTAATTTAACGAATTAAAAAATTAAGAAAATTCTAAAAATGTATTTAACACTGATTTTTCTAGAGTTATAAAGGGATAATTTATAAATAAATTAATCAAAATATGTACAAAATCGATTTTTTAATGAGGAATTCGATATTACACTTTGTAGTAACAATTGTGTTGTGTTTAGAACACGAATTGTTCCTTTTTTAGAAGGAAAAAGTGTGATTTTGATAGATGAGATGAATTTTTTAGAAGAGGAGAAAAGGTTTTAAGCTTTAGAAAATGTCATTAGGTGTCCACGTGTCATTGGTGTAGTGCACGTGATCAATGTATAGATTACAATAAAGACCGTTCGATTTCCTTGCAGGAAGCCATTTTTTGTTTTAATTTTTTCTGTTTGATTTAGAGTTAACAATTTTACAAAAGAAACGATTAATTTTACTGATTTTTAAAAATAAAATAATAACAAATTACTACTAAAAATGTAATATATTAAAAAATTTGTAATTAATTAAATATTAAAAAATAGTTTTGTAAAATTAATTATGTATTTCAGATTAAATTTTCATTAAATTTAAGAGTTTTAAAATATATTTTAAAAAATTAACTTTTTAAAAGTAAAAATAATT